GGTGGCATCATTGTGGCACTGCAGGAGGCCCAGGATGGACACGTCGTCCGAGGAATGGGAGGGGGAGTTGTTTATTGCGAACCGAGCGTAGGTGTTCTGCAAAGCGGTCCCCGAGCCTCCGCTTGGTTTCCCCAATGTAGAGGAGGCCACAACGGGTACAGCGGATGCAGTATACCACATTGACAGATGTGCAGATGAACATCTGCTTGATGTGGAAAGTCTTCTTGGGGCCTGGGATGGGGGTGAGGGAGGAGGTATGGGGGCAGGTGTAGCACTTCCTACGGTTGCAGGGAAAAGTGCCGGGTGTGGTGGGGCTGGAGGGGAGTGTGGAGTGGACAAGGGAGTCACGGAGAGAGTGGTCCCTCCGAAAAGCAGATAAGGGTGGGGAGGGAAAGATGTCTTTGGTGGTGGGGTCGGATTGCAGATGGCGGAAGTGTCGGAGAATGATGCGTTGGATCCAGCGGTTGGTGGGATGGTACGTGAGGACGAGGGGGATTCTTTTTTGGTTCTTATTGCGGGGACGGGGTGTGAGGGATGAGTTGCGGGAAATGTGGGAGACATGGTTGAGGGCATTCTCGACCACTGAGGGGGGGGAAGTTGCGGTCCTTGAAAAACGAGGACAACTGAGATGTACGGGAGTGGAATGCCTCATCCTGGGAGCAGATGCAGCGGAGGCGAAGGAATTGGGAATAGGGGATGGCATTTTTGCAGGAAGGTGGGTGGGAGGAGGTGTATTCTAGGTAGCTGTGGGAGTCGGTGGGCTTGAAATGGATATCGGTTTCTAGGGGTTGCCTGAGATGGAGACAGAGAGGTCCAAGAAGGAAAGAGAGGTGTTAGAGATGGTCCAGGTAAACTTATTTTTTAGTGTGAATGCTCTTTAAGGAAATAACAACCAAAGAGAATCTTCTCACCCTTTTGCTGCTTAAAGAGTGAACAAGGGTGAGGATATCTGTACAAACTCAAAAGGTTCTTGCTTTGAGAAAAACATTCCAATCTAAGGAACCTCGGTGAACTTCTGCAGTGAATTGTGCAGATGATTTGCATTACTGCTCCTATGTGTTGGCGGTGGAGGGAGGGAGTGCTTGTTAGAGATGGTCATTGCAAAGCTCTTGAGTAGTCCAAATGTTACTTGTCAGGCTTAGCGCAAGCTTGGAAACTTGAAGGGAAAACACAGCACTTTTCAAAATGGATGCAATTTGCACTGCATTCAAGCAAAAACATTGTTCTAAAATGGCCAATAAAACAAGCTAATTAAAAATAATTATTTACAGCCTTTTTATCCAGTCTTTTTTTTTATTATTCTTTTTAAGTTTTTATTTAAGTGGTAGCATTTAGCATATTGGATGAATTACATGTCACAATTGAGATTACTTTTTAAATTTGTACTAGTCCATCAACAACCTCAAATCTGAGCTTCTACAAAAAGAAAACTGGGTTAAAAGATCAGAAGATTAATAAACTCATTTATTACAAGACTAGTTATACAGTATGCTGTACCATCTTAGAAAGATGGCATCTTCGAAGTTGTGGATAAAAACGCATTTGGCAATTTGTAAAGCGTAGGCCAGAAACAAAACTGAATTTGTTTCAAGGTGCAAAATTACACAGAAGAATAAATAGGAATGTATTATTTTTTACTTTCAAATGTCTGCAATCTGCTTACCATCTTTAACACAATAAATAATTTGGAGACTAGAGTCCTTTTATCAGAATCCTTTAACTGAGGTTCTAGGCAGTACTTGAATTCTAAACACTATGTTGTTCTAGCTTATGTTATGACATGGATCTAAAAGTGATTGAAATGCAACAACTGCCAAACTAAGCAGTGGCTGCATTATTTATTGCTGTTAGGAGGCCTCAGGTGCTGCAGCTGTCAATCAAATGAGATTTCAAAAGAATTAATGGGCACCAAATGAACTTTTATTAAAAATACATTAAATTTCAAGGCATCAGCCATGACTGGGAGTACAATCATAGACAACTAGCTCACTTCTGCCAGCTTGCATGTTTCTGACACCTCGTATAAATTTCCAAAATCCACCAACCCTGTTTTGAAAGGAATCATAACCTGATCAGTAGAATTGAAAGCGACCACATAGCTGTAAAATCTACACTAATTTTAAGATTCGTATTTTAAGATGCAGAATCAATAGCTTCTCCTACGGAATCACTGGCAGAAGCAACTAACAAAAACACCAGAGCACTGGCCTCATTAAAATTTAATTTAATAACATCCTTTGCTCAAATTGTGCAATAAAAAACACGAGGGCCTTGAGTGTGCCATATGGACTTATATAATTCACATAGTACAAACAAGCTGAATTAACATTTTGTTACTCTGTTTACCGTAGCTAATGGAAGCTGCAAACGTCCACTAAGAGAAAGCAGGTAAACACATACAAAGAAGCATTCAAGTTTCATCCACATGTCTACACAACCATCTCAAAGTCAAGAAAATCCCAACCAGTAGCAGTCTCTGATCCGGCAATACCATCAGGTTCCACATTGTGTGTCATTCTTCTCAATTCAATTTTATAGGTCAGACTCAGCCACTGACATTTCAAAACCTCTTTTGGCATTTACATTACTGTATGTAGTTCTCCTATCCCTGGAGAAGACTGCAGAACCACAAAGCAACTGGAATATATTTTCTACTGGAATGAATGCTGGATTTATGGCTGTAAAGGCTGGGAAGCAGATCACAGATACTGACACACTGGAATCTCAGGTAAACAAGCAACAATGTAAAAGGTTTAAACTTTCTGCAAATGAGGAGCAACAGAAGGACAGGAGAGAAATAATAAGAAACTACCTTGATCTCTGAATGCTACTCAGCAAACCGCACATCTCCCCCAGGTGACAAACTGATACCCAGTCAATCCACTTTCCTCCGCCTCCCTTCACTCTCAATGTGATCTGAGCCTCCTAATAAGGGAAGACACTGACCCAAAATGTCGAGGACCTTTAACACATGTAACTCCAGATAGCATGTAATCTAAATACTCAGGCATTCTGAGCACCTTCATGATTTCATTAAGGTTGTAAATTCTCCTCCAACATAATAATGACAAACTGCAAGTTGATCTGCATAACAATGTTTTTGTTTCAAGTGTGGAATAGGGATAAAGTGTCTCATTTCTTGTTTGAACATTAACAAGTGGCACTTTGAGAAGTTGTGGGGATTGAAACGGCTTGAATGGAGAAACAGAGTGAGAATGCAAGCATTCTCCATTCCAGTGCCACTTCTCCCCCTCCTGTCCCCCTCTCCCCAGGTATAGAATGGAAGAGTTTCACAAACAGGAGGACCACACACTATACAGCTATCACTGTTAACTGGTTTAAAAATGATCAATCCCTTATGTGCTGTAAATTATTACCTCTCTGAAGATATTATTCACCAACTTTCATCTCATCAGACTCTCAGAGTTCCTGAATTAAATCATCTGTGACTGTTTTGGGGAATAAAGCAAGTATTATTTTGCATTGGGCTCAACTTTAAAAGCACTTCTGATAAGAAGACTATTGCTAAAACTACCCAGAAACTTGTCATAAATATTTGGGACCTCTGAAAATATTATTTGATTATGTAAACAATAGCAAAGATTCATGATCAATCTTATAGCTGCAGCTCCTGTGATATGTATTATCTTGAACATTTCTTGTACTGACATAAAGGAAGGTTAATGTGCAGACGGATACATAAAGTCAATGGTTGTTGGAAAGCTGCCATTACTTTTCAATTGTAAAAAGAAACTGTCCTTCAGATATAGCTCTGAAATAAAGAGTTTCAGTTTTTTAAAAATCAATTGATATTAAACTTGCTGACATAAACTTAACCATCATGTCTTCTTGTAGATGATCAAAGGTAGGAACAGGCAAAGAAGCAATTTAGCCAACTTGAGTCATACTTCCAAAAAAGGCCCACACGTCTTCTAATCCCATGACAGCAGTCAACCTTTGAGTGACACCAGAGTTTTTGCCTCAATATATCTATCCTGAAGTCTTTCGCATGATTTGATCAATCTTTGCAAGGTCCATTCAAAAAGTGAAAGAAATAATAAGGCCACATCAATTCTGTTGTTCCATACGTCCAAACAAAACAAAAACAATGTGTGACATGGTACAGTTTTCATTTGTGTAGCTGCTGTGTTTTTTTGAAACTAAAACTGACAACTGTAAAAATAAAAAATAAAAAATGAAAAAAAAAATAATAAAAATAAAAAAAGAACTTCAGCTCAATCCACATCTGTCTTCTTGGCCCCAGCACCTAACGGAATCTTCATCCTCCAGATCAGTGATTTG